ATATATATATATATATATATATATATATATATACACACACCCACACAATATTTACAACGTCAGCAGGTGTGCATGAATTCTGAAGATGTAGCGGGGAATTAAGCTCTAATTTTAACGAAAGCTAAGTTTACTTTGGATCTTTCACTTCCTGCCTGCTCCGCTGCAGAACTGTGCCATCTGTCACACTTTAATGATGAAAAACCAGACGTCTGATGAGTCTGATTTATTTAGGCTGCATATGGAGGTGACCCGGGTCTGACTGGAAAGGATCAAATGTGTGATATTCCAGTCCAGTTGGGCCTTTGTCAGCCTGGTCCACAGGAGACAGCTTTTGTTCACGTGCAAGAAGGCTGGATTGAAAGCTACGTTTTAGTTCTGAAAAGTTCAAGCTAAACACATGAGGGTTAGAATTTAGCCACGTTACAAGGCAAACATTTCAATTTCCACATGCCCAACTGGTTATTTCTCATGTCCAAAATGACATCCTGTACACAGTCATCATTTCAGATGTTGTAAACATCATTTTTTCTAGAATTAAAAATGATGTCATGTTTTCCATCACACATATTGGGTTATTGACATGATCTTTAATAAATCTGGAACAACAAAAATACATTTTGACTAGTATAATTGTCTTTGGGGTATTAATTAATCATACTGTAACTGTTAACAAGCTTGTCACACACCCGTAATTAGAATAATGACTATGACGACAATGTTACTACTAATATTCAAAGATCTATTAATATACTTTATTAAGAGTGTGTAAACTTGAAATCTAAACTGTGAGTGTTTAAGAATTCTTTGTCAGATTTCTACAGTGCAGACAGATCTATTAACACGGCAGGTTTAGTCAGGTTCAGGTCGTTCATTTCATCATGTTGATGTAATTGTACCTCACTTGTCCCTCTGTCTCAGTCTGTCCTCAGGATGTCCCAGTCTTTACCCAGCTCCCCCCTGTCTGAATCATACCACCCCACTCTGACCCCCACCCAGACTCTGTCACCATTCAGACTGGACCAGACCATCTTCAGCCTGCAGGGGGACAGCAGGTGGGACATAGTTATCTTTTTGTTTGTTTGTTTGTTTGTTTGTTTGTTTGTTTGTTTGTTTACCCGTGTGTTTTGGGGCAGTGCTTTGCAGCATGCAGGCTCATGGTGATCCCTCAGCTCCAGCAGGAAGTTTCAAAGAACTCCTTGGATGGCTCACAGGTTTGGACAGCTCTCTGGCCTTCCAGGGAGGTGTCAGATGGCACAACCTGGCAACGTAGAACTGTACTCAACATGTTTAGCAAGAAAGTGGACAGCTGCTCCTGTCATTAAAGAGCTGCTGCTTTCACCAACTTGGCCTGTGGACTGATCTAGAGCAAAGGCCACAGTTCTGGAAGGGGGGGGGGGGGATAGATGCGTCATTGAACAGGTATATTTGTGCTGTTGTTGCTAAAAATCGGGCGCAAACTTTAGGTTAGCGTGAAAAAATTAGACCTGCAATCCCAGAGTGCTGCTTTCTCACAGGGGCTGTGGTGGTATAGTGGAGCCTGTCCCAATACAGGCGCTGGTGCTGCCTGGACACACTCTCCACACATCAGGATGGATTTTAAGATTCTTTTAGTGGTTTTTAAATGTCTCAATGGTCGTGCACCATCTTATCTTGCAGAGCTGCTATTACCTTATGAACCCCCGCGGACCCTAAGGTCCTCTGGCACTGGACTACTAACAGTTCCAGCAGTCAGAACTCACACTTACGGTGAGGCTTCTATCCAGTACTATGGCCCCGTCTGTGGACTAGTCTGCCGGAGAACCTGAGGGCCGCAGAGAGTCTTGTTGTTTTTAAGAGCAGGCTCAAGACCCATCTTTTTAACAGCATGTCCTGAACCAGATCATCTCTGCTCAGTCTATACATTTTCCATACAATTGTGCGTCAAATTTGGGGGAGGGGAGGGGATTGTTTGTGTTTATCTTGTGGGTTTGTTTCTTATAATTCTGTACAGCAATTTGAGATGCTTTTAGTATGATGGGTGCTTTATTAGTAAAATTGGTTGATTGATTGATTGATTGATTGATTACTCCACCCAAATAGTGAGCATACAAGACCTTCTCTTTGCTGATTTCAGAACTATGCAGTGAATGTGTGGGGAGCAAGTGATGTGATGCACAGGAGAACACAGAACTCAAAGGTTCTGTTGCCTATGGTTTGTTTTCCATGAGAACATGAGAATAAACCTCCAGGTCATGGTCATAAACACAATCAATCTTCAGGATTATTATTATCATCACTGATAAATGTAGCCAGGGTGCCCTCTGTATGGTTCACTTCTTACTGTGTAGGAGGCCTAGTTTTTAACCCCCCCACCCCCACCACTCTCCTTTTTGTTGTTAAACCTGGGTCAGCACTTGTAAGCACCTTCCAGGACACTGATGAGGCTGGGTCTTGAACCGTCAGGGTGCGTTGGCTGGTTTGTGAGTTTGGATGGTACAAACTGAGCTGATACAATCACACTCTGACTGAATGAATGAGGTTCTGTCCGTGCGTGGGCGGGAACAGAATGTGAGGGCAGCTGTCTTATTGGCTGACCCGCTGTGTAGGTCGGAGCTGGAATGAGACAGCAGCCAATCAGAGAGCAGAATGAAGACGTGGGTGACTGAGTCAACATGAAAACCAGATGTCTCAAGCAGGTTCAGACTGAAGTCAGCATCTGGATTACCAGGGTGGACGAACTTTACCTGAACTGGAATCAGTCAACCACAGAAGACTGGAGGAATTGCTGGAAGATGTCCTCCTGACTGAGGACAAGAGTTGATGAGGACGTCAAGTAGGGATATTAAGGACGTGACACCTCTCAGTCTGCAGTCTGAAAGTCCTGCTTTCATCTGATTGGACAACCATGATCTAAGATGCAATGTGATTGGTCAGCCTGGAGCTGAGCTATGATTGGACAGTCTTTTCTGGAAGATGTGTGAAAATGTTTGTTGGTGTGAAGAAGAAGAATAAGCAGTCATCCTTTCAGCTTACTGACTCCGCCCCTCCACCTCATCCTCCTCAGCGCCGTACTCCTTCGACCCCGCCCCTCCCTCTTAAGTCTCTGCAGCTTTCTGCTAAGCAACCACAGACACCTGTTGTGCTGAGGGAGAGAATAAAGGTCAAAGGTCATGGCTTAGGTGTCAGAGAGTCCTGGCCTGGCACTGCGACAAGGTTGCCTCAAAGATCTCTGACTCCGCCTTCCAGAGTTCAGCCAATCACTGAGGCCAACCAACCACGCCCGGGCGTCGTCTCGTTAACTCCTCCTCCTCCAAAGTCCCGGAATCCTCTGCTCTCTGCCGCCTCTCCTAATTGGTCAGTTCCTGCTGTAGCTCCACCTACTGGGCAGGGCTCGGAATCTACCATGATGTCTCTGCTGCTGTTCTGCCACAGGTAACCATAGTAACAGGTGCTGATCTGTAGGAGAATGGGTCAGATCAAGAACTTTCTAAACACTGTTGGCCATTTAATGATAATTACAGTCATAAATTTGTTTATGCCTTTTTATTGAAAAAGAAAGAAAAACATCACTTATTCTGACAAAAGAAATAAGAAAAATATACTAAAGATCAGCTAATAAAAATCCAGAATTGATTTTAAACTTTGGTTTGAAAAATTTATTTAAAAATAACTGTAAATACTGTAAAGACTGAAAATAATTTGACCACTGGGACATGTTACACTAAGGTGTGTCCTGTAATCAGCATCTCAGGTGTCTTCAGTCTGTAATCAGTCTGCCTAATTAAAGGGTGACAGGTAGTCACAGGGCTGTTTGGTATCATGGTGTGTAACACACTGAACGTGGAGCACAGGAAGCTGAGGAAAGATAATTATTAACAAACAAGTTAAAGATAAGCTGGTGAAGATTCTCAGTCATCCAGGACATACCATACCATACCAATTTATTTCTAAAGCACTTAAAATACAACAAGCAGTCGTCCGAAGTGCTGTACAAAATTAAAAACAAACAAAAAACAGTAAAACAATAAAAACATCTAAATATACATAAAATATACAGTATATATATATAATAATCAGAACATCATAAGTAAAAGAATACAACATTAAGACACAGATGCTGACTCACTCTAGGTTAAAAGCCAATGAAAAAAAAAAGTGTTTTTAAACGAGTTTTAAAAACAGAAAGTGACGAGGCCTGCCTGACCTCCAGTGGCAGCTCATTCCACAACTGGACAATTGAAAAGGACATGATGAATTCAAAAAACGTTCACTACAAAAACAACTGGATTTTATTTGTAACAGAAGACGTTTCGCTCCTCATCCGAGGAGCTTTCTCAATTCAATGAGCAGAGAGTGAGAGATTCAGGTTATAAGGCTGAGTGAGATAAGACACACACACACACACACACACACATATGTAGATTGGCAATTCACACCTAAACACCTTAACAGTAGGGGTTTCTTAAAGTCTTTGTTGCTCTAATTCACAGAAGAGGCCCCTCTGTTCCCATCAAGTGTGAAAACTGTCTGGGAATCAGTCTGTTAAAGTTGCATTATATGTTTTTGAAAGTGGAAATCTGAGGCCTCCTCCTCTGTTAAGAGACGGCCTTTCTCTTTACATAAATTGCTTCCTTCACCCCCCTCTCAAACCATCTGTGTTCTCGGTCCAAAATGTGCACATTTTGGTCCTCAAAAGAGTGTCCCTTATCTGTGAGGTGGAGGTGAACAGCTGAATTTTGTCCTGAGGAAGTAGCTCTCCTGTGTTGAGCCATACGTCTGTGAAGAGGCTGTTTAGTTTCTCCAATGTAGAGGTCTGGACAGTCCTCGCTGCACTGGACTGCATACACTACACCACTCTGTTTGTGTATGGGTGTTTTGTCCTTAGGGTGGACCAGCCTCTGTCTGAGAGTCCTGCTGGGTTTGAAATGTACTGGGATCTTGTGTTTGTTGAAGATCCTTCTGAATTTCTCTGATACTCCAGCAACATAAGGGATGACAATGTTTTTCCGTCTGTTGTTCTCCTTTTTCTGTTTATTAGTGTGTTTTGTAGATTTCCTCGCTGACTTGACAAAAGCCCAGTTAGGATATCCACATGTTTGAAGAGCTTCTTGAATGTGTTTCTGTTCCTTTTCCTTCCCTTCTGTCTTCGTGGGGACGTGTTCGGCCCGATGCTGTAAAGTTCTGATGACAGAGAGTTTGTATTCCAGTGGATGGTGGGAGTCAAACAGAAGATACTGGTCTGTGTGGGTTGGTTTTCTGTACACTTTAATGTTGAGGCTGTCCTCTCTTTCCATCTGAACCAAACAGTCCAAAAAAGGCAGTTTGTTGTCGTTTGCATCCTCTCTTGTGAACTTGATGTTGTTATTGACCGAGTTAATGTGTCTGGTGAACGCTTCTATTTCCTTAGCTTGGATTTTGTTCTATTATCTATTATGCGTCACCACTGACGCATCGCGTTTGTTATGCGTCACCGCTGACAGGCTGGAAATGTGGGCCGGTGTTGTGCCAAAAATCGATTGGCTGCCAAATGGTGGCCGCATTCATGGTAGGGATTTAACAAGAATTTAACAAGATTAACACTTAAAATCAATTCTTTGTTTGCTCGCAATTATAGCAAAGGTGTGTCTCAGTCTAACTTTTGCTTAATAAATGCACTTTGACGGTCAAATTAGCTGCATTTCACTGGGGCGGTGCAGCGAAATGAAGCTGGTTTGACGGTTGCTCCAAGCAAGCTGGACAAAGGTGGCAGTCTAAGGCAAGCCGATTGTGTCATTAATAGCCACTTGTACCTATTACATGACACAAGTCAAGTCAGCTTTATTTATAGAGCACATTTAAAACAGAACCTGTTATCAAAGTGCTTAACAACAACAACGGCATGTCATACTATTCGAGTGTCGTCTAGCGGCTGAAAATGGTAGTGTTCAATATTTTCAGTCAGAATGAATGAAAACAGTCATATCTCAGCCAGAAATTGGTTTATAAATATGGAAAAAAAAAAACATAAATAAGTTGTTCGGTGTATAAGTCGCAGGGCATGTAAATAATGCAAAAGAAATGTGACTTATAGGTCGAAAAATATGGTAACCTGTTGGAGTTTAAGCCTAAAATTAGTGAGAGATTTCAAAGTCGTGAGTTTTAGTGTTGTGTAAGTTGTTATAGTCATCTGCTGCAGCAAAGAGAAAGGTGTTATGTCCAAAAATGGTAGGTTTTATGAATGATGAACTTGACCCTTGATTGAGTACAGTACTTATGATGGAGGAGGTGACGACAGATAAATTGGTGTTTTTCTGTCAGAAATGTCATGTATACAACGTGAAGCCAGTGATACGAGCCTCTGGATTTGAAGGGAAGGCCAGCCCACCAGTTTATAGAGGTTACAATCAAGGTTGGAAATTCCACCTCATTATTGGGGGGTTTGGTAAACAGACAATTTTTAAGAGCAAGGTTTGGTGGGGGGGTCTCTTAAGATATAGTCATATGTACGGTTGCAAAATGAAATAAAAATTAAACATTCATTAGTGTGTTTACACGTAAAGTTACAGAAACTTACAAGAGCACTGACTGAACGTCTTTCTCCACCCACTCCTGCACTAATATTTTGTCTAATCTAAGGCTTGATTCACTTCCTGGTGGTGCGGTCATGTGACTTTCAGCAAACAGTTGCTATTATTTTTTACAAAACCATTAAAACCATAAGAAAAGGCCGCGAAGCACCTGACATGCATCCATACATAATAATAAAGTCTAAAATGAAAAATTGATGACGACCACAGAGACACATGCAGCGTTGATGTTGTCATTAAATTTTTTCAATGCGCTCATTCTGCAGGTGAGTAATGCTGAGAAGTTGTTAATGTACAGGTCCTTCTAAAAAAATTAGCATATTGTGATAAAGGTCATTATTTTCCATAATGTAA